CTTTTTTTAAGATTCTTAGTTTTTTAGCGGGGAAAGGAGATCACAAGTCCAATGACTCAAAAAACACGCCAAAAATGGATGTTCAGTCACATAAGTGTCTGTATATATAATAAAAAACAAAGCTTAATTAAAAAAAGGACTCTGTGGTGACCTGCATCTCGATACGCTCTTTCAAACAAAAAAAAAATTTAAATATATTGTCCGAGCCGGGACTGAGAATTCCTTGTCCCAAAATCAAAAAATCATAAATCGAGAAAAAACGAAAAACATTTTTTGAACCTAAATTTTTCAAGATTTTTGTACTTTTACGCGGTTTTTTGGCATATTTGAAGAGAGTAATCATCAACTGTCATATATCTTTGTAAAGACGGGCTATCTTCCCATGCGGCTATCTCAATTTTGAAGAATTTGACGAAAATTGACTTTTTTTGAGGGGGGGGGGGCCTTAAGCACTCCACTGTTTTGTAACCGCCATTCCACGCTAGTATACTGATAGTTGTTTTCTGACCAACAGTCTTGAGGTGTGGGCATGGTTGTTTCCTCAGCCTACACTCATTCATGCAATCGGTCGAGGTTTCTTTATTGATATTTTTTGATTTTTATTAATAGGATTTGGCATTTCTTAGTTTTTATTTCCATTGTTCTGTATGTTGGATTAACAGTTGAAAGAACTCAAAATTATATTTCACTTATTGGTATTATCACATTAATTTTACTTGGCACCATTGGTATGTAATTTTATTTGTAATAATGAGAAAATTTTTACTATGGGTTCTTTTTGTTTGATCAGGTTCAAAACATCCTCATCTGGTAAGATTGATTGTCAATATAAATATTGATAATGTATAATATAATATCATGAAAATTTAGATTCGATGGAAAACAATATTTTATTCATTTGTTATTCAATTCCTCTTAGCTGCTGTTGTTATACGTCTTAATGTTGGTTTTCAATTTTTTGAGTTTCTTGGGAAAGAAGTATCAAAATTTATGCAGTAATTTATTTTCATTGATAATCTTCAATAAATAAAGTATTTATTATGATTTAGAAATGCTGATAGTGGAGCAGTTTTTGTTTTTGGAAAAACTTATCAAGAACATTTTTTCATATTTAAAGTAATAAAACTCTTCTAGAAATTGAATATTTTATAAAAGATTTCTATGTATCGGTTTGTAACTAATTTTAGGTAACATCAATAATTATTTTTCTTGGATCTGTAATTAATGTTCTTTATTATTTGGGTGTTATGCAATATATTATTGGAAAAATTGCATGGTTCATGCAAATATGTTTAAATACAACAGCAGCTGAAGTAACTATTGATAATTGTTACTTTATAAAAGAAAATTATAATTTTTAATAATTTAGTCGATGAATGCAGCTGCAAATATATTTGTTGGAATGAGTGAAGCACCATTAATGATAATGCCTTTTGTACAAACGATGACAACATCAGAACTTCATGCTGTATTAGTCGGTGGTTTTTCAACAATGGCAGGTTTGGGAATGAACCTATATTCGATCTTGTTTTGTTTATATATATATATGTATTATATTAGGATCTATTCTTGCTACATTCATTTTTTTTGGTGTTCCAGCAAATCATTTAATTGCTGCTAGTGTTATGGCTGCACCGGGTGCACTTGGATTTGCAAAACTTTTATTACCAGAAACTCATCATTCCAAAACAACATGGCAAGCAGTAAAGAACACTCCATTACAGTACGTTTTAATTAGTTTTAAAAAATAGTCGATATACTTTTCAATCAAATAGATTTTTAGTCTTAGAGGAAAAAATCATTTAAGAGTTTATTGAAAAGGAGATTGATTCTTCTGTCTTTTGTTGAATAGAATGCAATTTCTATTTTAATGGAAATGTTGTCTATAAAAATTGTTGAACAACCGAAAGTTTCAATTATATAATATTCGTTTCGATCAAACATTTGAATCAACTTTTTTTTTTCAATATATTCTAATAATCGTCGAAATTGAAGAAATTTCCAATGTGTTTTTTTTTGCGAGTCTTGAAAAAACCCAAATCGATTTTATGGCTCTCGTTTTAAAATAGAAATCTAACAAGAAAACAATGAACTTTCTATTAGCTTCTGTGTGAATACTTTGGAATGTGACATTTGTCCAAGAATTTTTACAACATCTGTTAAAATCACATAGTTATCTATTGAAAAGGATTCTATTGTTTTGAAATATGAACTTTATTAGTAAAAATTTTCGATAATAAAAACACAGATTCTAATAAACAAATCGAACCGAATATTGATCATGAAGCAATTTCATTGTTAAAATTAAGATTTGAAAAAAAATTCTAAATATTGAATTTTATGCTTCTTATTTAGAGAACAACATAATATTATTGATGCCTTATTAACTGGAGCAGGAAATACTTTAAAAATGTGTGGTTATTTAATTGCAAATTTAATAGCATTTATCAGTATACTTCATTTTGCTGATATAACTATTTCATGGTTTTTTGGTCTTATACATCATCCCGAAATAAATTTTCAGTTTTTACTTGGCTTAATTTTTTATCCATTTGCAATGATAATTGGTATTCCAATTCGTGATTGCCTTCTTGCATCAAAACTTATTGGAATAAAAACTAGTTTGAATGAGGTATGCCTTTATAATTTTCAAAAATATTCTATTGATGTCTATTGTTTTCGATCAATAGTTTATTGCTTATCAAGAACTTGGTAAAATACGTCAATTACGTAATGAACTTATATTAAATAATACATTTCCATTATATTTAAATGGTACATTAACATTACCAAACGATACTCCTATGTTGTGGGATGTAAATATATTATATTTTCTCTTTTGAAGAAAAGATAATACTTCTTTGTTTTTCCTTTTATTATACTAGGATATTTCGCCGATTATTTTAACTTATGCTTTATGTGGTAAATATTATTCAGATATTTTATTACTGTTTTGTTGAATTGAATTTTTAATAGGATTTTCTAATTTTGGTTCGATGGGTATTGCATTAGCAGCACTTGGAGCTTTTGCTCCAGCACGAAAACGTTCTCTCACAAAAATTGCACCACGTGCTTTGATTGCTAGTATTATGGTTTCGTTAATGACGGCATCGATTGCTGGTATAAGTATAAAAACATATTTTTCTTTATAATGAGAATTTTATTTTAGGTCTACTTTATGATGCTCGACATGTGGCAATGCCAGTATTAAATATGAATTCTACACTTGTATAGATTTGATTCCTTTTTTTTTGTGTTTCTTAATATATGTGTTCTGACTATGAATGATTTATTATTTTATCTTAATTGATTATCAATAGGATAATTTATTTGGTTGTGTGGAAATTGATAATAGTAGTGTTACACACGCAGAAGAAGAAGAAAAATTGAGAATTTCAATTTTCTTTACAAGAGTGAAATCTTTGAGTACTGAAGGCAATTATGTTTGGCTCTTCAATTACTATAATCGATTGTTAAGTCGAAAAAAAGTTATTTGATTTTACGAGAAGATATTGCTTATTATTAGTGCTATGGCTGATTCTCTAGCTCTTCTTCTATATGGTGATTTGAAATTTCTATCTATCAAGATTATCAAGACAAACTAGGGAACTGCAAAGTGGTCCGGGTCCCGGTTCCGGCGGGACCGGGACCAAAATTTGACTTTTTTACGGGACCGGGACTAAAAATTTTTCACATTGGTCCCGGTCAGTTTTTATGCAATACATTTTCACGTTTATTATTTTGACATGATTTAAGATCTGTAAATCAGATATTTTTATTTGCTATTTCTATAAAAGTCTTTACTGATTACGAGTCTGTTGGCAAGAATCTGAGTTTTCCAATTGCACAGGTTTTTGAATACAGATAAAACAACCAACACAACACTATATACGCAAGTTTAATTTGTTCATTCTTTGATGATTCCTTTATTGAAGTCTTATCAGATAATAGTAAATAGATATGTATCGCCATATAGAAGAAGAGCTAGAGAATGNCAAACTAATTCACCTACTTAAACATCGTGGCTTAGTAGACCAAACACCATTATTACAAGTATATAATGCACCAATCATCGGATCAAGTGCGTAACCAGACAGGCATCCAAACTGAATCCATCCTAGAACATATTCGATAGGATTCCTAGAATAGATAATGTAATCTTCTTACCAGTCACTTTGTTATTTGACACAGATGATAATGATGCATTAGAAGAATATCCATTTGTAATATTAAGTGTTGTTACATCCATTACACAAGCATTACCTGAAGGTACTATAGGAGTAGTCTGAGAACCGCCACCACCACCGTTCAAAACACAATTTGGAAATGGACTCCATGAACCACTTGACGAACAAGTTACATTTAAACTACCACCCATATTTGTGTAACCATTTATACAAGTAAACACAATATAAGAACCATTGAGAACTGAGTTTGTTTCTTGCGGAACCTGCATTAATTGACTTTGACCGGTAGTTTGTAAACCAATATTGTTGCTCATGAAGTTTTGCAATGCCAAAAACGAACATCGACCAGTTACTTAATACAATTAATGCATATAACAATATTAGAATAACGCAAACATGATCCGATATAGAAGCGATTAAACATTTATATATTAAACTGAAAAGTACTGATTCATAGTTAGATCTTACTGGTTCAAAAAATTTACTTGCATTTACATATTTCGGAAGTGTGTATCTCTTACACTTAGAAATTTATGAATATCAGTCGAAATAAAAAGTTTAATATGACTTCAATCATTGTAGCTATTGCTAGATGATTACTGTATGTTTGATTGGTCTCGTTTCATGTGCTTGGATATGCAAAGAACAATAACTATTTCACGGCGACTTAAGAAAGTTCATTTTTGGTCTTTATTTGATGACAAACGAGTAATCTTCCTATCAAGCAAATGAAATAAGCCATACAATTTTGAATACTTTACTGAAGATACTATAAAGACATGTGAGTTGTTTTAATCTCATCGATGCCTTAGATTCATAAAATGCATCTGACGTTACAAGCAGCCGAAAGCTTCTGAAACCCAAAACTTCAATCTGTATCTTATCCAGTACACGGACACTAACAAATACTGGTATCAGTTCTTTCAAATTATTCCAATTACTTAGACATCGTGGCTTAGTAGACCAGACACCATTATTACAAGTATATAATGCACCAATCATCGAATCAAGTGCGTAACCAGGCATGCATGCAAACTGAATCCATCCTAGAATATATCCGATAGAATTCGTAGAATAGTTAATGTAATCTCCTTACCAGTCACTTTGTTACTTGACACAGATGATAATGATGCATTAGAAGAATATCCATTTGTAATATTAAGTGTTGTTGTATCCATTACACAAGCATTACCTGATGGTACTATAGGGGTAGTCAGAGAACCACCACCACCGCCACCATTCAAAACACAATTCGGAAACGGACTCCATGAACCACTTGACGAACAAGTTATATTTAAATTACCACCCGTATTTGTGTAACCATTCATACAAGTGACTACAATATAAGAACCACCAAGCACAACGTTTGTTTCTGGTGGAGCTTGCATCAATTGGCTTTGACCGGTAGTTTGTAAACCAGGTGCACTCGATATAAAGCTTTGCAATGCAGAAAACGAACATCTACCAGTTGCTGCACAAAATGAATACATAGAAAATTCAAAAATATATGCAAACTAATTCACCTACTTAAACATCGTGGCTTAGTAGACCAAACACCATTATTACAAGTATATAATGCACCAATCATTGGATCAAGTGCGTAACCAGACATGCATCCAAACTGAATCCATCCTAGAACATATTCGATAGGATTCGTAGAATAGTTAATGTAATCTCCTTACCAGTCACTTTGTTATTTGACACAGATGATAATGATGCATTAGAAGAATATCCATTTGTAATATTAAGTGTTGTTGCATCCATTACACAAGCATTACCTGAAGGTACTATAGGAGTAGTCTGAGAACCGTCACCACCACCACCACCACCACCACCACTGCCACCACTCAAAATACAGTTCGGAAACGAACTCCATGAACCACTTGAAGAACAAGTTATATTTAAATTACCACCCGTATTTGTGTAACCATTCATACAAGTGACTACAATATAAGAACCACCAAGCACAAAATTTGTTTCTTGTGGAACTTGCATCAATTGACTTTGACCGGTAGTTTGTAAGCCAGCTGAATTCATTATAAAGTCTTGCAGTGCAGAAAACGAACATCTACCAGTTGCTTTACAAAATGAATACATAGAAAATTCAAAAATATATGCAAACTAATTCACCTACTCAAACATCGTGGTTTAGTAGACCAAACGCCATTATTACAATTGTATAATTCGCCAACTGTTGAGTCAATTGCATAACCAGGCATGCATGCAAACTGAATCCATCCTAGAATATAGCCGATAGGATTTGTAAAATAATGAATGCGATCTCATTACCAGTCACTTTGTTGCTTGAAACAGATGATACTGATGCATTAGAAGAATATCCATTGGTAATGTTAAATGTTGTAGCATCGACTGTACAAGGTAAAGCATTAGATGCTTGAAAGGAACCAGTCATGACTGAATCGTGAGCAGTAACTGAAACACACGTGGGAAACGTAGTCCATTCATCATCAATACATGTTATATTTAGCTGACCATCTACATGTGCATAACCACTATTGCACTTCATTGGTACATATGCTCCAGTTAATACAGTACTATTATCTGTTCCATTCGTTGACAAATTATATTTACCATCGATGGACATTGTTTTCGTGATTGATGAACTTTGGATGAAATCGAATACTGGTGCCAAAGGACATTTACCTGTTTCGAAATAAATATTCATTTCGAAAATAAAAATATATCGAGAGAACTATTATTTAACTATTACCGTTGCATACAATTAACAAGCGAGCAAAGAATAAACACAGATGAAACGAGTGCATGTTTAAAAAACTCCGAAATACTCAAAGAAAGTCCTATATTTAATGTTGCTTTATTAATATCAGAAATGAAAATGAATAACAACGCAAATCAGAATAAGTCATTTCATAATACAAGTGCACAAGTGTTTCTAATGGACATTATTTCGTATTGATGATGATGAAGCGTTGAGATTGAGAAAAGAAATGTAGGATGTTTTTGTAATATTCATTCAAAAATCATTCTTTTCAAATAAAAGAAATATATATTTTGTGAGAATCAATTTTTAGTTTCATCCAAATGACATACAGACTTTATCTTTTTTTAGATTACAAACAGTAGGCGGCGACTACTCAATTACCATGCTAATAAGCAATATAAAATTTTCTTCTTGCATTAATAGTTGTCATGTTCAGAAACATTTATTTTAATATTGTATGAGCAATTTAGTGTAATTTAAATGAAAAATTTTGTTTGAAATTCGAAATGAGAAAAAAAATAATCATAAAAAGCAATGATCAATCAATTTGATGAGAAAAAAGAACACGTTAAATCCAAGGCTAGAAAAATAAAATGAAGAAAGGACGGTTATGAAGGATGTCTAGTTAATGATCAAAATATACTTGAAAACAATTTATGTCTGAAAAAGTCGATAGCATTCTCATGAAAATAATTTTTAAATATTTATCATTTTCCTTTTCGAATAAATTTGTGATACAATCTGACAGTTTTTTTCAATGAAATCAATAAATATTAATTCTATAAAGATTTTTAATTGAGTTAGATTAATATCCAAAAATAAAAATTTTTATCAGGACTCTCTATGTTTAAATTTCGACCATCTGTGGTTTTTCATGTTACATTGTGCTGAATTAACATAAATACAAACTATTCATGCACTTTACTCATGAATACACACGTTCTAGGTTATCGGATTTTCATTCAATGCATTATCATCTATTTATGATTTACGTTATTGTCTCGGGATACATGCATATCATTGAATCATCGATAAACATTAGGTATCTATGTAGTAATGATGGAATATTAAAAAAAAAGAAAGAAAGAAAGAAACACATCCTTCACATGATTGTACACGACCTTCTATGTGTATCAATATAAAAAAATTAATAATGCAATAAAATAATTCAAACTGTTATCCTTTTAGAACGAATAGATAAACTGCAAATAAACTTTTTTTTCGTTATCCTGTTCCGTCAAGGTAAGTTTGTAAAACAATCTGATTGTGTTTTGTAGTAAAAAATACACATGTGAGAGAAAAACGCACGATAAAAATCAACTACCATGAAAGGACATGCATATATATATATATATATATGTATATAGAAGTCAAGTACAGACACTTGATTACGTTTTTTTTTCTATTTAATCGATGCACAATATTATTGTAGTGTCTACGAGAACGGCAATTGTCGACGTTGTTTCTAACAGTTTCAAACAAACATATACTTATATTTATCGTTGTCTAACCGAGTATCTCGCTCTAGATGTATAATAAGAGAAGAAGACTATCGTAATAAAATGCCTTTAGAAGATGTATCAAATGACATGTCTATGGTCAGCTGGCTTCGCCATTGTGGCCATGGACATTTAATAGATGAACAAAATCAATCGTCTCATATTGGCCCATCGATATCGCCACCGCCACCACCAATACCTCCACGTGATTATAATAGAATTGATCCTTATTGTGATTCATATAATCGTTCAATGTCTTTTTCTCGAAATGAGAATTTCGGCACTTATCCACGTGATCCTCCATATAGACCTGAAAATTTTATTTCATCTCCTACACAATTTTTAGCACCACATACCAATCAATCACATTTTGATCCGGATATTGAAGTAAGGAAATCAAATTTTCAATATTAACTATTTAAATTATTCTTTTTGTATGTTTATGTAAATAAATAGGCTATGAAATGTGATCCAAATACTCGTGTTGTACAAAAACCAGCACAAGATAACGTCGTATACAAACAACGAGTATATTAATATTATTCATTTGTCTATGATAAGAATTAATTATTAATAAATAATAGGTTTTTGTAAGATACTTACAACCTCCAACTCCACCTCCTAGTGGAGCAATTATTGTACGAGAAAAACAACCACCACAACCACCTCCTGATTCACCTCTCGTAATTAAATATATTTATTAATTAGTCAATGATAAATTTTATTCAACATAGGTTATCAAACGTGCTCAACCTCCACCTCCAACTCCACCACCGATTACTATTCGTGAAGTTTGTCTATGATACTTTTCTTTTTTTTGTTTTTTCTTTCTTTTTCTATTCATTTCAATTATTCCTTATAGCGTCCACCACCAATGCCACCACCTGAAGGTACTACTGTTATTAATAAAATGATTCCAGCTCCAGCAAAACCTTCACGTCAAGTAATTGTTCAACAATATCCTCAGTTACCACCCAAACCTCAAGATGTTATTATAGAACGATGGCTTCCTGTGCCAATACGTAAACGACGTATTTTTTATGAACGTTTACCTGCTCCTGTTAATCCACCAACACCGGTAAGACCAATGATTGTTCAATATAGTCAACCAAAAATATGTATTCAACGTGAAGTTCGTACTGAACCTTGCGTGCAATCTCCTTGTCAACCAGTATCATGTCATACGAATATAAAACAACATATATGTTCAACAGTAAATATTTAGTTAAGTTTCAATTAAAATTTTTTTCTTTTATTATTTATTAAGTTAGCACCTTCATCTATGATGTCATATAATCCGTGTTCAACCTTACAACAAAGTCATTGTTGTACGAGTCAACCTCAATCAAATATTGTGATTATGCAAAAACAACAACCAAATACAATATCTTCATCATGTTGTGCAATGCCATTAACTTGTGTATGTTCAGCAAAGTCAACCACTGGATTAGGTGCTTATGGTTGTGGTATAACAACTATGCCAACTGTTGGCCCTTGTGGTACACAAAGAATGGTTTATGATGTACCTGGTAAAGAGAAAATTTATTTGAAAATAAACAATTGACTATGTATAATTTTTATTTTGTTTATGTATATAGAAAATGTTCCCATTGATAATGTTATTCGCCAATTTGGTATTGATCCATGTTGTATCCAACGTCCACCAAATATGGTTGCATGCGTGTAACAAAATTTAAGTTACTTTATTAAACACTTTTACTAATTACGAATAATAAATTTTATTGTTTGGAATTTATTAATGTTTAAAAATAAAAATATATCAATTTTAGATTTGTAGAAATATTGTTAATAGAATGAATAAAAAAAAATATATATATTATTTTCGATCGTAGGTCAGGTGAGTGTTCGGAATAGGGATGTACAGTGTCGATTTACTGATCACCGACGGCTCCGACTGCTTTTGCTTGACTATAATTTATATACAGAATACCATGACATCTTTCAGATGAAAAATATGGATGCACGAAAATTTTCCACTGGATAAGACGATATCATCTGAAAAGTGTTTTTTTTGCATTTTTTTTTAATTTTGAGAGTATATATCGTCGTTTTATATAACATCCAGCTTTGCAAAAAATAAAAACAATAAATTACAAAGACGCTTAAAACTGCATGCCAGAATAGCTTCCAGAACTAAACAATACAAGCTATTCATGTTACAAAACGTCACATTGTTTAAATAAACCTCAGAAACTTACATACTCGTAACAATGAACTCTTATCTTCATAAGACAAATCTGACAGAGTTATATATTCATGATAAAAATTTATAAATTTCCAGAAAATTGCTATCGAAACAAGAAAATGCGATTCAGATTGTCATACCCGTTCGGAATACATACGTTGAATCAATTTAAAATATTATTACTTTTTAGACTTTGTATCTCTCTTGAAAACTTCTAGCACAAAGAATCGTTGTACATAATAAGTCAAAATAATGAAAGAAATCGAGTATATGATTGTGGTAACCGTAGATTAGGCGTGATGCACTTCTATCAGATTGGCTTTATTATTCAAAATGAAAAAATTGTCCAAATTTAAGATATCTTTGCCAAATATCGAGGTGCTCACGTCACTATTCTTCGTTCATGACTATATATAAAAACAACAAAGATGGGTGTGGGTGTCAATGCTATTAAAAAGAAGACCAACACTCACACCATCAAATCAGTTCGACTTAACATAATGAATTACAACTACCTAGTTACTTTTTCGCGTGATCATAGGTCAATTGTTTGAAATCGAGGATTTTAGGAAAAGTCTTACAACTGTCAAACGGAACAAGCTAAGAATGTCAGTCTTATGTAGATCGAAAGAAAAAAGGGTTTCTAACAATTAGTTGAAACCCCCCAAAAAAATAGCTTCCAAATATCGTCTTATGACAATCTCCATCAAGAATGCACATGTTTATTCAATTGCTAATCAATCAAATTTTGATTTACTTCAATAGCGCCAGGTCTTGTCTCTTGAAGGATAGAAACTTCAGCTTTCTATGATGTTCTTATCAAAACTTATTCCAAAAAACAATGGAGCACATTATGTTTCGAAATAGATAGTAGTTCTCGAAATTAATTAATTAATTTTTTATGAACCTTAAATGTTAGAAGCAACTCAGTCTTCATGGAATTGATTTGCCGATCCAAACCTACCGCAATCATAAGAAGGATTCAGTAGTTCATCTCATATTTTGATCAAAATTGATAATACAAAAGAAAAGCATATATTCTTTTTTTTTCTTTTTATTATACGCGATGTGTTTGAATGTTAGTGAATACATGTGGTTCAGGTAAAAGCATTGGGTGTAGCATAGACATTGAATTTGATAATGTCCGTGTTTTTATCGTTGCATAATAGGTTGAATATAATGATGGACCAGGATATGGTGGAGGTTCATAACAATCATTTATTGATATTGAATTTTGTTCTAAACAATCATAAGATGGTGGTAAATCATTAATATCATGTGTTAATGTATGATGTGAATGAGATAAATTTAATGAAGAAGATTGTTGTTGTGTAATAGATGATAATCTATTTGACGATGTTCGATTTATATTTCTATTAAGTGATTTATTAGTATAAGAGAATAATAATTTTGTAGGATTTTTACGAATTAAATAAATAAGTATAGAAAGAATTGAAATAAGTATTAAAATACTCATAGCTAAACAAGCTGAGTATCGAAGTACATCGAAATCATTTGTTAATATAAATGATTCACTAGTAGAACTAATATCAAGATGAATCGTACTGCCTAAAAGTTCAAAAACAATTTTTATTAATACAAAAAAGCCTATTGTCTTTATTATTCTATTAACTATGTCCTTGTATATACTGTTCACATGCTCGTGTATTTTGATATGTTAAACAAGTAACACGACCATAAGTTGCACATGCAACTCTACAGCTAACATTATTTCCTTGTAAACAAGCATAGACATCACCTTGACAATAACCTAGAGAAAAGAAGAATATTAATATTGAAATAAATTTAAATAAATTACAATTTCGCTCGTCTGAACCATCTATACATTGATTATAACCATCACATACAAATGTCCATGAAATATTTTGACCATTTTTACAAACAAAAACGTTATTCATATTGATAATAAGAGTAGGGCTAGAATAAAAATGTGTCGTTTACTTTTCTATTGACAGGAAAAAAAAGGAAAAAAATGAATTCTAACTAATTTATCGAGTGTTACGTTCATTGTGTTAACATAAACTATTAAAAAACCAATTGTTTGAAAAGAAATTAATTGATTTCATACTTCTCTTTTTTTCTAGTGATAAAGTCCTACATAAATATAAAAAAGTTGATTCTACTCGTTCTTCTCACTTTATGTATATACACTTGTTATTTTTTCTATTAAACAAGTAATATCTTCGAAAAGAAAGTGAAGATATTGAACTATTGACACGACATACAAAGATGTTAAACAAAAGAAAAAAAGCGAGAAGGAACAACGTCTTGTTGTTATATCATATAGATATTAATTCACTCACTTTCTCTACATGAACCTTATATTAAACTGAGTATAGGATTTCATAATACAATTCTCAAAATGTAGGAACAAGTGACCGAGTAACACAATAAGTGTCACCATGAAAAGAGGACTGTTACTTCTATTTTATTGCTTTTAAAACAATGACACAGAAGAAAGAAGAGAAGTCATAAATATGCGGACAGGAACTCTTTTCTCTTTTTCTCGCTCTTCTCATTTTTCTAATGACTTCATCATTTATATGCTAGTGTAAATTGAGTGAAATGTTCATAGTTAATTGTTTGACTATATCGTCACACATTTTTATGAAAAACTAATCACAGACATTATTGATTTTCTTGTTATTCTCTACACTACTTGTGTCTTTGCTTTTTATTCATATCAAAATCAAATCTATAGAAAAGAAAAGTTCTAATCAGCACGATTGTGTGATTAGAAGTTGAAAGAAAGGGGAAAAAAAGAAAGAACCGAAAGTGTTCGATTACTATATACGTGTTCTATGTTGTCTCTACATAAAAAGAGATCTAATCTGTTTGATAGTATACAAGGACACTTCTCTACTCACCGATCATCAACAGAGACGCTTCAAATATATAGTATTATACAACCAGAAATAGAAAAAAAGTCCACATTATAGAAACAAAGATTTCTAGCTCTAAATTATCAAATACTTCCTTCTAGGAGATATATGATTTACAAAGGCTAAAAATCGCCTTGCTTTCTCAGTTTCAATAAGACCGATAGAGCTGAAATTCTTTTTTTACAGATACTAGACACTGTTTGGCACACGTCAGTTTTTCTAATTTCTCTGTCCACATTTTTTTAATCGAGCCTTTTTGTAAAATCTGCCAGAAATTAACGATGTAATATTTTTCAAAAAAATCAAATAATGTCCAATATCTGTAAAAAAAACAAGTTTCACTTTGATTGAACGTACTATGTTGAAGAAATGGAGGCGATTCCTCACTTTGTTTGTGTAAAAACTTATTTCGAGAAGAATAAAAAACAAATTTTCTTGTATGTATAAGAACTTTTTTCCTCAACTAAAATGATCGAAAACTAGTTGTGTTAGAGATCTATGACTCATGTTCTGAGCACCATTAGAAATTATCGTTAGGAGAATTTTGCCTACAAAGAATAGGGGAAGGGTAATTTAAAGAGAAATGAATTCAATATTTTGTAATATTACTGAAGAAAATAGTAATGTAAAAGAAATTTCTTCTTAAACTAACAGTTTATATTCTTCGTATATATACTGAAGATGCTTATCAACAATGGTTTGGATTCAACAAGAACAATCTCAACAACGTTCGACATATTCTAAACGAACCACATCAATGGCAATATATTTAGATAGTCTTTTGCATCTTAATAGTTATTAAAAGAGATTGCCTTCTTTTTCTTATCGATATATGAAGGCATTCGATACAACTAACAAGAATGATTTTGACTAT